TCCGATGATTCTCTCATTATTGATGTTTCTATCTCTCCCTCTCTCTCTCCCTCTCCCTTCCTCTCTAAAATCAATTAAAAAAAAAATTTTAAGTAAAAATAATAAATAAAATCACATATTGGAATTCTCTTTTCTTAAAAGTTCTTTGTGCCACTCCGCCACTGGGGAGTTCTCACTGGTCTGGCTGACCCATGTTGGTCTACATTTGCAAACCTGAAACTAAGTTAAAGATTCATTCTGAGATTGTGATCTTTCCTCTAATGGGGTCACTCTGCCTTGGAAGCAATGTGTGGTTTTATACAGTTTTTTCCTTCCAGATCTCACACGGAGGTAAGGGAGAGCAGCTGTGAACCATAGTAAAAAGACTGCATGTAGGCTCTCGTGCTAGACAGGCCCGTGTTGGACCCTGGCTATCATTACCAGCGATGTGAATGCTCATCATTGGGCTTGTGAGAATTTAATAGACAGGATGTTCTATGTGCCTAGGCTTTCAAGAGATGGTAACTATTTTACCATATTGTCTCTGTTGCAAAGTTGCTTTTATTTTCCTAAATGACTTTTGCGGGAGAAATAATGGATAAAGGTACTATATTACATATATCGTTAGTAAGTTACGTCCTGATTTGAGAAAGTCAGAAATGGGGGCTGAGGAGTACATCTTAGATTTGGAGAGTGGTAACAGACTTGAAAGCTCTAACGAGCTGAATTTGTCAGACCGTTCTGACATTTGCAGTCTGTTTTAGGAGCTGTTGGTTTACAAGTACTTGATGAGCACGTGCCTGTCCCAGACTGTGCTCTGAGGCCTGATGATGGAGCACGGACACCAGGGCCCTGCCACCCTCAGCAGGGAGAGGCAGACAGAACACAAGAAATAAATTCCTTAGTAAGAGCTGTGAGGACAGGAAACAGAGTGATAGAAAGTGAGAAGCCACTACAGGTGTTAAGCAGAAGGAATAACATGATAGGATTTATGTTTTTAAAACAGACTTACTGCTTGAAGGAAGCAAGAAGACCAGTCATCTAATTCATGTGCCAGATTGGAATGGAGGTGGTGTGGACCAGGGTGTGGCCTCAGGGGTGGATTCAAGTGCGTCAGTCAGTTTATTTTAGAGATAGAGTTAGCCAAGCCCCATAGATTGGCAAAAGAGCAGGAGGAAAGAAGAAGAGAGAGTAAGGATGACCCCTGGATTTTTTAGTTAAACATCTGGGGACATGTTATGTACTGAGGTGTTGAAGATTAGGAGAGGATTGATTTAGGGAGAAAAATCAAGAATCAAGACCTGTTAAGTTTGAAATGCCTGTTCAACATCCAAATGAGTCAGCTAGTCAGTTTGGATATCTGGGGAGATGACATTGAAGTGTCTGTAGTGGAGGAGGAACCAGACTAAAGAATCTGCAAGAGAGAGAAGAAGAAAACCAGGAGAGGATGGTACAAAACCAGGAAGGGATGGTCAGCATTCTCAGTGCTGCTAAGAGCGGGTGCAGGCCAAGGGAGAGGCCTATTTGGGTTTTTTGTTGTTTATTTAAGATACAAGAAACTAGAGTATGTTTTTGAGAGTGAGAGTAAAAAAGAGAAATAGATGCTCAAATATAGAGAAAATTACAGGAGCTAGGTCAGAGAGGATGGGACTGTCAGTGAGAAAAATTCTTTTTCTCTACCCTCTTATGTTCAGTCCCTGGAGGCCTGTGAATTAACTGACAAAATCCAGATGAAAAAGAGAAAACGTTTATTCATATGGGAACTTAGGAAAGAAGTAACTCCATAAATGGTTAGATTTAGAGGCTTATATACCTGACTTAGTAGGGAAAAGGGAGGAGGAAGAAAAGGCCTCTCTGGGAAGAACAAGTGGGTTTCTTGAGGAAATGCAAAGGGATTTATAGAAGAATAAATGGGAGACAAGAAAGTTTGTGACATTGGTTATTCGTGCAGGTGCAAGTGGTCTTTCCATCTTCTTCAGGGCCATAAAACTCCTCGGGAGAGGGGTTTGTAGGTTCATTCTTGGGTCCCCTTCCTGTGAGTAAAAGCTGCCCTGAAGAGCGAATTTATGGTAGCCTCATTTCACAGAAGTTTCTGCTTTTAGTGAGAAAAGGGAAGCTCTGAGAAGGCCGATTTATGCATTTGTTAAATCCCAAATGTCTTCAGCTTGAATTAATTTTTATACCAACTCTGGGGTTCTGAGTGGATCCCCACAGATCCTAAGCCCAAGTAGCCTTTATTATGAAGGCACCTTTTTCCATTTCTGTAGGAGAGGAGAGAGAAGTTGTAAATAGGTGTGCAATTTGGTGGCAGGAAGAGGAAAGAGTTTCTGTCTGAAGTCAAAGGCTGAGAGAAGTAGGGTTGCAGTAGGTTTGAGGAGAGAGAAAGTATACATGAATGGTCTGATAGGAAAGCAAACCTCTTAACCTGGCATTTACCGTGGTAGGATCGTCAGGCAGTGCTTAGTGCACCCCAGTGGTCAGATCTTCAGCGAAATGCTCATGCGCTGGTGCAGGTCCTGAGAGGGGAGAGAGTTGAATTCAGTTGATTGAGGTTTGGAGAGAGAAGGCCGAGCTTGCTCAAGTACTTTGCAGGGGAGCCGATATCATAGAACCTGGCACTTGATTAAACTCCATGACAATGTGCAGAGTTGGGCGGTGCTGATAAATTGATGGCAGCAAAGGTGAAATAAACCTTAATGTGGGGACCGAAGCTTGGGAAACCCTTGGATGGCCATTTCTCCCCATCACTGATATGCTTCCCATAGCCCTGCTCCACCCCGACCTTGAAAGAATTGTACTGTATTAGAAGTGTGTCTGCTCACAGGGTTTCACAGATGAGAACATGGGTCTTGAGGGGAAGTAACTTGCTCATGTACTAACAACTAATTTGGTCAGAACTGAAATTAGTAGCCAGGCCTAACTCTCTGTGTGCTCTCAACTTCATCTTGGTGCTTGTCCTGTCATATGGCTACTTTACTCGTAAATGTTGACATTGAGGGTTCTTTAAATACCAACAATTGCACAGGTTTAGATGGCAGAACAATACTTTTCTGTTAGTGAGTTTGGGGAAGATATATGGAAGAGAACTCTTTAGTTAATGAATTTGTAGAAGACCCTAAGACTTCAGTCCTGAATTACTCGAAATGTTATTTGCTTTTTAAGTAACAAATAGTCTAGATCTTGGAAAAAGATATGCTTTTCAAAACTCCAAAGACATCATCCATTTTGTACAGCACATTTTATAAGGTGTGTTGCTGAGTCATTCACTGATGTTCTGTACTGTTTATTTCACAGATTCCAAACGGAAATGCATCAGAACTTATTTTTAACACAGTGCATGTAAAAGATGCAGGCTTTTATGTCTGTCGAGTGAATAATAACTGCACCTTTGAATTCAGCCAGTGGTCACAACTGGATGTGTGTGATGTCACAGAACTAACAGAAAGCTTCCAGGGTAAGTAAGTTGAATGTTGAGAAGGGAATCACCTTATTTTCATGTATTTTAAATGTTTGCTTTTAAATAATTTCAAGTATCAAAATATCACAAAAAGCTCACATATGTACTGCACCCAGTATAAGGTCAGCAGTTGTTAAAATTTTATCCTGTATATTTAGATTCTCTTCTCTACGGATGTATATATAGACACACACACACACACACACACACACAAATACCTTCAGATAACACAACTCTTCTCAGTCTGGCCCTGCTGATGACCTCTTCCAACTTGGATTTGAATATCTCTGGTTTTAGAGGAGGAAAAAAATCTAATACAGTCTTGCTCACTTTTTAAAAATATATATTTTTATTGATTCCAGAGAGGAAGGGAGAGAGATAGAAACATCAATGATGATAGAGAATCATTGATCAGCTGCCTCCTGCATGCCGTACTGGGGATCAAGCCCACAACCAGGGCATGTGCCCTGACCAGGAATCGAACCATGGCCTCCTAGTTCATAGGTCAACACTCAGTCACTGAGCCACTGAGCAATACCGGTCAGGCACAGTTTTGCTCACTTTACAGTTTCTTTCTACACTGTACATTTTTCTCCCATGTAACTGTATTACTCCTAAAAAGTTGTGTTGTGGAATAAAACTAGAGTGGATGTTGACATAAAAGGGCATATAGTATATCATTTGCTGCAATAAAACATTTCATTGAACTATTTTTCTACTCTTTGTCATTCATCTTTTTAGTCCAGTAACTGGTATTAATCAAGGAAAAATCAAGTCTACTCTAAAGAGTAATCATCAGACACTATTTTATTTATTCACACACATAGTCAAGACCATATCCTTTGTCATTTTTGCTCAAAAAAAGAATAGGAGAGAAACAGGCTTTTTGTTACTAGTCTGACTCATTCTTCCCTCTCAATTTAGCCTTTCCTACACCTAAATAAATAAACGATCTCTAAAAATAGTCATGATTAATTAAGAGAGTTATTTATCTTTCTAGAATATTTCTGTGCATTTAATAAAATTTACTATGGTTATAAATATAATCTTATTCATTCAAAAAATATTATTAATCACCTGCAGTTTGTGAGACTGAATTTCATGATGGAGACCTGGTATTGCATAACATTGACAAGCCCTCTGTCCCCAAGGAACTTAAAGAGTAACAATGAGTGTTCAGTAAATGATGTTTTCTGATATCTGCCTTGGGAAGAAATGCTAGTGATTATCCGTCCATATTTATTCAGTGCTAATAACAAAACTCCTTTTTGCAATAAGTTAAATCAAAGTGAAGAATGTAGATCTTTCTGTGAACGTGAATGTCACTCAAGATATTAATAAGTTGTTTGCCCCCTCCAGAGAGATTCTGTGGCCAAGCACATTTGGAAGCCACTTCAGCTCTTTTCCCCTCTAACATGCACAATGCATACTAACACTTTGAAAGCTCGACAAGTTCTGCAATTAAAAAAATCTGTTAACTCTGAATTTTCTGAATGTATTTGCCCACCACATTCTTTTATCCAGACAGCATTTCTTAATATTTCTAAAAATGCTGTAGTTTTATGAAACATTGCTATTAAAGATTGTAAAAATGAAGGATGAACTTGAAAACTCATTTACTTTTATAAATTATAGAGGGAAATTTTATTTTTAACTTAGAGATTTTATGTTTAATGATGCTTTTCTTTTAATTTAAGGAAGTTCGAATGGCATCTCTGAATCCAAGTTGCAAATCTGTGTTGAACCAAGGTCCCAAAAGCTGATGCCAGGCAGCACGTTGGTCCTGCAGTGCGTTGCTATTGGAAGCCCTATTCCTCACTACCAATGGTTCAAAAATGAATCACCCTTAGTGCATGAGACAAAGAAGATATTCATGGTATGAAGTTGGTTTTGGGGGCATTTTTTGTTCTAATAAGTAAAATAAACAGTGTAATAGAAAATTAAGGTGAACATTAAAATTCATCTTTGTTGGGGGTGTTTTTATGTTTTCAGTATTTTTGTTTCAAGTCCTTGTTATTTAATATTAATTGACTTTTATATTTGCAAAATTTCCAGAAAATAACACCAGCCCACATCTAAGGGCTTATACTAAAATGTCAAATGTAGTATTACACCAAACTCATCATAATTGGATGTATTGTGTCATTTGCTAAAATTTATTCTTAACCTAATGAATGGCAATAATTCAGGCTGTCTAAAGCATTCTGAAATTTTATTGTAGGAGTTTTTTAAAATACAAAATAACTTTTTCTCCAAGCCAATTTAAATTTAATTGAGGAAGAAATGTGTGTGTTCTGATATTGATATAGGTGCCTTATGTGGAATTGGAACATCAAGGAACCTATTGGTGTCGTGTACATAATGATCGCGACAGTCAAGATAGCAAGAAGGTAGAAATCATCATAGGTAAGCAATGTTACTCAGTGTTCTGACAAATGGAGTATAATAGAAATTATATAAAATAAAACACTTAAGCAATGGAAATTCTACTAATTACCCCCTTCTACTTAATGGTGTGATAAGTATCAGGAGTTACCATTGTCCATATAGATATTTGAGAGAACACATACTAAATTCATAATCTAGCTTTATATACTACTAGAGGCCCGATGCATAAAATTCGTGCAAGGGGCTTGGCCCTCACAGCCGGATGGCCCTCGCTGCCCCTTGCAGCCTCAGCTGGCCTTCACAGCCCCTTGCAGCCTCGGCCGACTCTCACAGGCCTGGCTTCGTCTGGAAGGTCGTCCGGATGGTCATTCTACTGTTCAGTCTAATTAGCATATTAGCTCTTTATTATATAGGATGACCAGATAGTACTAGAAAAATAGTTTTTTATTTAGACTTTTTGGTTATTTTTTAATTTTATAGTTTATTTTAAACATTTATGGCAAAAAAATGTATTAAAACTTTAATTATAAAGAACTTGATTTCATGGAAAAAGATTTTTAAGAAAACATTTTTTAAAAACAAACATGACAGTCATGTGAAGGAAAGAATGATCAATCAACAATCCCATTACAAAGTACATAATTTGGGAATTTGTTTTTATTTGAGCTTAATGCATTTATAGTTATGTTGTTAATAGTAGGAGGTGTTGATGCATATGTTGGTTTGCCAACATATTTTTGTGATACTTATCTCTCTGTTTGCTTGATGGCTGCCCTTCCTAAGATCATGAATTACAATATATTCACATTTGTTTTCTCTGGAACAAGGAAGAACAGATGAGGCAGTGGAGTGCACTGAAGGTAGTGTAACCTTTGGTTTGAAACCAGATATCCTGCATGCTGGCTCCTCTTGGGACTGGTGGCGTGCTCTAGCCTACTGGGTGCAGTGATGGAAAAAATACTAGCTATAAGAAATCATTTCACTTGAAGGATATTGTATCTTAGTCTTTGAGGGTTTGTAAAGTGCCACAGACACTGCTAAACTGACACACTATTAAAATAACTACTATTCAGTTGATTTTCTACTCTACTAGTATATAAAAATAAACTTCCTGCATAACATCTTATGAATAGCAAACATTTGCAATTAATTCTTAATGCTAATTTTTATCTTTATAAAAATTGTGAAAAAATATAGATTTTGTCTAATGTCATGGAGACTTGTTCAGATTTCTTATCTATTCTTTAGCCATGATAATATGCCCCTCAAATTTGAATGTGGTTTTTCTAAAAGTTTCAGGACAGATTATTATTGTTTAACACATGTTTTATCAAATATTAAATACTCAGTTTGTTTCAATATAAAATTGATATGACCCATTTTTGAAGCTACAAGGCCATCTACCATGTCACCTTTACCATAATATATAAAGAGAATTGAAAATCTCTTTCAACATAAGTTTCTAATTTGTTCTAATTAACCAAAGCATTGTACATAAGTTGTAATAAGTAAATTTCAAAATTTAAGTTCCCTCAGTATGATATCACATTGTTTTACAAAATTAGGTTTGTGGATAGCAAAGTATTTTTTCAATTTCTGCCTCTTTAAATTATAACCTTAGGCCAGGGGTCCTCAAACTTTAAACAGGGGGCCAGTTCACTGTCCCTCAGACCATTGGAGGGCTGGACTGTAGTTAAAAAAAAAAACAACTATGAACAAATTCCTATGCACACAGCGGCGGCAAAAACACCCGGCGGGCCTGATAAATATTTTCGGCGGGCCGCATGTGGCCCGCGGGCCGTAGTTTGAGGACCCCTGCCTTAGGCTTTTTGGGAAAAGAAAATCATGTTAAATATTATGTTTCCTGGTTTTCTTGTTCTTTGTATCACTATGGCGTCACTCTGAAATACTATAATTACTATTTTCATCCTAATACATAATTGTGAACATGATTTCTCTAGCATAAGACGATTTCAATCCTGTCATATTTGGACCCTTTTTGAGGGAAGTTACATGAAGAAATACTAACCAACTCCTCTTTCTTTTCTTTCCCCTTTTTTGCCTAATTGCATTATTTTGAAAACTTCCTAACATTGGAGACTTCTAAGAGTAAATAAATAAATAAATAAAACCAGCATTGCTGTTTTGTTTGGCTTCAGGGTGATGTTTGTAATTATCACCTGTTGTGATGCTTCTTTATCTGCAAGATTCTCCCTATAATTTTTGTAGTAACAAACACACTGTTAAATAATAATTTTCAAATAAATCTGTTCAGAACACTTAGAGATGAAAATCCAACCATGAAACTACTCCAGAAATTTCAGATGGAAAAATTAGACCCAACTTTTTTTTCTAAAAGATATATAAAATTGAGACCTTTTATAATTGGTGGGTTGACTCATGTCATGAAAAGTGTCCTAATATCATACCTTTTTCACCCATGGAACATGATGTTACTTACCTATTTCATTTTAGGTATTTTGTTAAAGGTATTTGATGAGGACAAGGGGTGGGAATTGAACAGGTGAAGCTCAGCGGATTTGTTTGGGCAGTGAAACTATTCTGTATGACCACTGTAATGGTGAATACATGTATGCAAGTTTTTTGTTTTTAAATATATTTTTATTGGTTTAAGAGAGGAAGGGAGAGGGATAGAGAGATAGAAATATCAATGATGAAGAGAATCATTGATCGGCTGCCTCCTGCATGCCCCACATGGGACCAAGCCTGCAACCC